AGTCCTAAACCGGAAAAAACAGGCCTCCGTTTTAAAACAGTCCATTCAAAAAAAGGTGTCACAGAACAAATGCAAAAGACTCTTAAACCCACAACATATGTACAAGAGTAAAAGTAGACAAAATGGGAAAGAAATGAGAATGGCATATAACGTTGTCCCCCCCCCCACCATGTGATTCAGGGGAGGAGGTGCACTGCTTTCCAACAAAAGCTGGATGAAGAAAAATGTGACAGAGGGCCCTTTGTCAGTATCTATTTGATCAAAATTCTTTATATTATTTCCAGTTGTTCCTTTTTTTGAAGGAGGAATGTAATGTGTCTAATAAAATAATGTGTCTTATTGATAAAAACAAAATCTCTTCCAGGAGCCTAGAGAAAGTCCTATTTCTTATGCATTTTTAAACTTTTTTGTCATTGTGCATTATTTTGTCATGTTCACAGCAAAGGAAATCAAGTCTACGCGACGACATAAAAGAAGTTTGATCAAACAGTGAGACGGGAGCCTCCACATATGCACATCCAGGTTGCTGTAACTCACCAATCGCTCATTGGAAACCACACCTCTGCTCTACCATATTGCTTTTAGTGGTTTGTTTCTCCATAGAGAAGTTGTCTGTCTGCAACTGAAGGCAACCAGAAGTTCCCAAATCATTTAAAACAGTCCTATCTGTGCACTGGCAGAGGTACTGGATCTTGCAAGAATATCTCTACCCAATAAAATTATTACTTTTATACATGGAACATTATGAACTTATGTTTCCCTTTGTTAGCCATTTTATACTTTCTGCACCTTTGTGCTTTTATTGAGTATAAAAATAGGTCTCCTTTAAAATTCTGTTTATTTTAAGTTCACTAAAAAACTACTTGTTTGTGAAATTCTCTTATAAACTCACTGCACCCACGTGGAATAGATAAAACTAATCAGGCAGCTAATGGATATTAGGTAGTGTTAAAAAAATACAATAAAAAAAATATGGTAAGATTCAAGGAAAAAAAGCCAGCAGTAAGTAAAATGGAAGAAAGCTCAGTTTCATAAATTTTGTGTGATATTTATTGTGGTTGAAAACGTAGGCTCCACAGAAAGGGGCAAAAATCAAACCAAAACAAAATATTAAAAAAAAAAAACAAAAAACAAACCTGAGTTGTTATCCAAGAGCAGAATTTTCCAGATCACCAAATAAAAAGGAATGGTGGTCAAATAAATCAATTAGAATGAACAGTGAGAAAGAACCAATAATGAAAATAAGCCAAATCACAAAAAAAAAAAAAAATAAAAAAAGCAAATCAAGAGTTACATGGAGACAGTTACTTTGGGAACTTGTAAATTCCTGTGTTAGGATACATAAGGCTCATTCTTGTTATCCTCACAGGCATAGGCTATACAAAGGGTATTTGAAACTGACATTCCTTATGGAAATTTTACAAAATTTGGCCCTTAGAATAACTGAGAAATATCCTGAAAAAATCTTCCCTGAAACTGTAATAAAGAAAGTTTCTTATCTACTGATAAAACTGACAACTCAGTAAACTATTTCGCTGGTCTTCCTACATAAGAAAAAAGCACAAATATATTTGCCTCAGAAATCTGTTAAAAGCAGGGAACCACACAGCAAAAGAGTATAAAGATTCTATAAATGGGAGAGTGAAGAAAACCTCTCTCCAAAGTGTCCACAAAGATACATATGCCCATTAGAAGAAAAGTAAGAATATACATATTATTAATCATATCAGAGAATAAAAAAGTTAAGATTGATATAATATATTTATATTGAATGACTACTTTAAAATAGAGCAACTTATTTGCTTCATTTCTCAGATTCCTTGGGCAAAAGTCATTTAAATTCTGAAGTGAAAAACAAATGTAAATTTCTTGTACTGTACCAGTAACAGATGATTATGGTTTCAATTCCCAGAGAAGAGAAAAATAAGTCTTGCCTCTTTGAGTCTTTTTTTCTTTCGAGAAAAAAAACAACTAAATCATCCTGACTGCTACATGCATGCATATTTAAATCACTTCCCCTTCATTAACATTAAAAAGAAACATCTCTGCCCAAAAGAGCTGTAATGATTTTTTTTTTCTAGCTAAAGGATAATCATTCTACAAATAATTTGCCCAGTGTCTGTAGTCATTCATAACATACATAATATTTGCAAAGCACAGTTTAAGTACACTGCCTTTTATTAGCATTATTTTTTTTAATAAAAGGGATGCATCAGAGTGTAAGAACTCTGGAAATTATTTCCACAGTTGAAAGGATCAATAAGAGAATGCTGGTTCAAGTTCTTAAAGATGGAAATCTTACCAAAATGCCACCAGAGTCTGTGAACTAGTTATAAACAGCAGGACACCCACTGGCTAGGCTGCCATGCACACAATCCCCACCCCCACCCCGTTACCATTTTAAGATATTCTGTCAATCCTTAGTTAAAAATAAGACTTACTTAAGAGACCAAAAAAAAAAAAATTCAATTAAACTTTTATTGAAGACTATCCAGTGGCAAGAATACCTTGTGTGTTAATATTATATTATGTTTCAGACATTCAGTAAAGAATTCATTAAGGATGATTTTCACAATGCACTCACCAAAACAGCCTTAAGTATTGTTAAAAGCACATTTAAGCGCCTGTCCTGAGTTCTAACAGGTTTTGAATTTAGATCGCCAACCAACTACTTTCCTCTTATTCTTCTATCGAGAGGTTAGGCCACATGGCTTTTTCAAAAATCATGACTTATCTTTTTCCATTCTGAGGCCAAACTGTTACTTCACTAATTTATTTAAAATTTCTACCTCACCACAAAAAATGTCCAAGATTCATCTATGGTTAAAACATAAAATGCATGCAAAGTTTTCAGGTTTTCGAGATACATAGAATAAATGGGTTTGTGTTTCCGACAAGCTTTAGAACCGCAGTGGAGGGCGGCCACGCAACGTCACCAGCACAGAGGAGCTGTCAATTGTAAACCGCCGGTTCGATTATTCGTGGCTAAAGTAAAAGTCCCACCAATGACCACATCAGTCTATCATTTCGGGGGGAGGGGCGTGAAGTAAACAGCTCCAGAAACCCAGTTCTGTATGGAGAACCTTGCTACCGCCAACAGCCCTTTCTTTTCCCAAGCGAACTACTGAAATCTGATGGTTCATCCAAAGGAGAAGCCACCGAGAAGAAATCCGTCCCCCCGCAGCAGACGCGCGCCGGCCGCGCATCCAGGCTGGGGGCTGGGCGCAGGCTCGCCCGAGCGGGCGGGGCGGGGGGAGCCCGGGAGCGCAGGGGAGGGGGCGGCGGAGGCGAGGGGAGGTGGGAGGGGAGGCAGGAAGGGCGCCGGGGCCCCTTTGGCCTAGCAGCTCCGGTTGCACGGGTCTCGCCAAATCTCAGTGAAAATGGAAGGCCAAGTCTTGGTAGCTCGCTTGGATCGCTTCAGTAGGCAAAAGAGCCCTGGCGATTTTGCACCGAGTTTCCACCGGCCGCTGAAAGCCTCCTTCCTCCGCGGCGGGCGCCGCAGCCCGGGGAGGCTGAGCTCCGCGGCTGGCGCGCGGGCCCCCACCGGCCTCCCCGCCTCCCTCTGCCCGCCCCCCGGGAAAGAGGCGCTGAAGCCACCGAGGGGGACCGGAGCGCGCCCAGCCGCGCTTGCCAGCCGGGGCCTGCCTGCTGCAAGGCTCGGGGACACAGGCTGGCGCTGGAAAACCGGGGGCGGGGTGTGGACGCGCAAACGGTCCCCAGTGAGCGGGGAGCGCACGCGTAAGCGTCGTGCCCGCACCGCCGCCCAAGCCCCAAGGAGGCTGCTGCGGGAGAACAATCAAGATGCCCAGCCAGCCACCTTTGTGGTCGCGGCCCGCCGGAAGGCTGGTTCCGGGGCAGCCCCAGAGCCGGCGTGCGTCCAGGGCTTGGGGAAGGCCCGCAGGGCGCGGGTGCAGCAGCCGCCTTCTCCGGGGGTTAGCTTTCTTCCACCTGCCCGGAGGCTCCCCTGCCCAGCCCGGGCCTCCAGGGCCCGCGGTAGGGTGCGCCCAGGCGCCCGCGGCGGCGAGGCCAGGAAACCCGGCGCGGGGACTGGAGCGGAGGGCCTCTGCCTTTGAGTCCCGGGCGGCCGCCCGGGCTCCCTTGGCCACCACTGTGCCTTCAACCCCTAACCGGCGGCGCTGGCACTCCGGAGGCCTCGGCTCAGATGCACGATGTCCATGCATGCTGCCCTCGGCCAACCTGCCGCGCCCTCCCTGCTGCTCGCAGCTCCAGTCCCGCTGCGCCCAGGGCTCCTCTGGCCCAGAGCCGTCCCCCAGCCCTCAGCGGGGCTGAGCCCTCCGACAGCTCCACGGCCCCGTGGGACCACGAAGACAGACACCAACAACTTCTCCCGTGTCCTCCCTCCCCTCTCCCCTTTGCCGCTACAGGTCAAACACTGAAGCCACGTTCCCCCAGCATCTACCTCTGTGCACACACGACGATGCAGCCTTAAAAAAAAAAAAAGAAAAGAAAGAAAAGGGAAAAAATTCAAAACTGGAAACGGCCGTCCTCACCCTCTGAGAGGAGGGGACAGGAGCGCCCCGAGTGCCCCCGTCAGGGGCGGCTGCCACCGCGATGCACAACCCGTACGCGGCCCGCCACGGAGAACGCACAAGCCACGGCGAGCGCCGGAGCCGCGCGCGATGGCCGCCCCTCCCGGCGGCTGCCGCGGCCTCGGCGCCGCCCGCCCGCCGCCCTGCCCGCCTGCCCGCCGGGGTGGGTGGGGAGAGGAGGAGGAGGTGAGAAAGGAAATGGGGAGGGGAGGATGCAAAGGGAAGGCAGAGCGAGAGAATACTCTTCCCCTGTCTTTCACAACTGGTGGGAGGAAGAGGAAAAAGAAATCCGCCTGCCAACTGAACACTTCTCAGCCTAACCCCTGCAAGTGTAGATAGTTCTCCTCCGCCACCCCCATCACGCACACCACGGCCTCACCACCGAATGCGCTGCGACAACAGGACCTCCAGCTTGACTTCCAGAGAGACTATTGGCGATGCGAGTTTCTATCAGTTCCAGCTGATTTATTAAAATTGTCAAGATACAGACTTCCAGCACAAAAAATAAAAAAAAATAAAAAAAAAACAGGCAATGATGTCGACAGTGCATTGAGTCTGCTTTGCCACCATTTGCTACAAAGTATGCAGATGGTCTGTACTTTATTTAGATTATATTGCACAAAATGAGAAACTTTTTAAACTATGTGCCTTTTTTTCCTTTTTTGCTAAAAATCGAGAATCCAGTTTCAAACCTTCCATCTGGGGCCCCATCCACATCACAGCGTATGAGATACATAAAGTCCCACTATAGTACAGTACATATACAATCTTTAAACTAAGATAACAGCTCTGAGGTCTATATCACCATTTTCAATAAATCTTTACCTACAAATATTGAACAAATCTCTACTATAGCTGTACAAAAAAAAAAGTTTGCTTTTTTTTTTTAAACCACAAGGCCTTTAGATGCAAGGATTATTTTTAAATTTTAATCCTTTTTAAACCAGGACATAACGTACCAACATACTTGCATGCTAAAAAACAGAGGAAAAAAAGAAATCAAAAGGGAAGAAGTGCCTGAAAGTCTTACTGAAAAAACACAGCAAGAATGTTCCCTTTTCACTGTACAAAAATACGCCTGAAAATATATTAATTTTTAAAAAAGACTGAGGTCTGTTATGTATCAAAAATGTTTCAATACCTTTTGTACTGAGGTCTAGGCTGTCTGGTATTCAATCAAGGAGGTATAAGGGAACAAGTTACAAAAAAAAAGTTGGCAAGTAGAAATCACATTTGTAAAACCATAAACAATTTGATCTGAAAAGTAAACTCTGATCTTAAGTCAGTTCACAGTTTTTTTTTTTTGTAAGCGTTTGTACAGTCTGCATTTTTTCAAGCTCCCTGCAGTTTTGTTAAGAATCGGATGCATAGAAGACATCAGTTTTCTCCCTCCAAAAAAATAAAATAAAATAAAAAAGTTGCAATGGTCCCTTTTTTTTGTTAAAAAAAAAATCACCAGTTCTTTAAGATCTCTTAAGAAAAAAAATCTCCAACTCCCTAGAGTAACAGTTGTGCTGCCAAAAGGGTCCTCTGCAGACGTCTTCCAGACTTCAAAGACCGACAAGCTTCAAACAGCGCCTTCCGGAGCGGGTCCTGCCTCTCCTCCCCCGCCCCGCCCCCTCCGCCTTTGTTGCAATCACGAATTTCAGGAAAAAGAAATAGTAATTACAAAAACACATTTTTCGGGGGAAAAAAAAATCACAACTCCAGACTAGGTATGCAACTACCTTGAGACACGATAAAGGAAAGGGGAGGGGGGGCAAAAAAAAAAAAAAGGACAAGAAAAATGTTTAAAAACTACTCATTTCACTTTAACTCCACCAAAATTTTCATCTTTTCCAATTTCTTTGCGTCGCGACATCTTATCAATATCATCAGCATCTTCTTCTCTCCCCTCCACCCTACCACCACCACCATCAACACCATCATCATCATCATCAATGACCGCCACAACTTCCTCCCAAGGAGCCCTGCTCTGCGCCCGCCGCCGCGAGAAAGAGCGAGGAGGAGCGGGGCGCCCTCTCAATACGTGAACACCAGGTCGGAGAAGTTCGCCTCCAGCCAGTCCCCCGCGATCATCTCGCTCAGCTCCGGCGTGCAGTAGTCGGGGAACTCGAAGTGGGAGCCCAGGCTGCCCTCGCTGAACGAATCCAAATCCTTATCCACGAGCGACAGGGACAGGTTCCCGGCCGCCGCGCCGGCCCCCAGCGGCTGCTCGCTGGCGCTGTGCGCGCTTTGGGAGAAATTCAAGCTCAGGTCGAACATCAAGTCGTCGGCGTCCTCGCCGCCGCTGCTGCTGCTGCTGCTGCTGCTGCTGCTGCTGCTGCTGCTGCTGCTGCCGCTGCTGCCGCCGCTGCCGGAGGAGGAGGAGGAGGAGGAAGTGGAGACGGAGCGCGAGGACGCAGGCGACAGCGCGGGCTGCGCGAGCGGCGGCGGGTGCTGCTTGGTGATGTTCTTGAAGCTGTAGTAGAGACGGTTGCTGCCCCCGGCGCCCGAGGTCGCGCCCGCCCGCACCTCGTCGTAGAGGCTCGCGCCCTCGGGGGACTCGGCCGAGCTGCTCAGCGTGGGGCTGGCGGGCACTTTGGCGACGTTGTAGCGTCTCAGCAGCTGGGAAGCCTGCTGCCCCGGAGGCTGCAGGAGCTGCTGGTGCGGGGGCTCCTCGTCCTCCTCGTCCGGCTCCTGCTTGATCTGCAGCTGCAACTCGTCGTCGTCCTCCTCGTCGTCGTCGTCCTCGTCCAGGAACACGCACTTGACCGTCTTGCCCGCGCCGCCGCCGCCCGCGCCGCTCACGCGCAGGCTGCCGAGCACGTAGTCGTCGCCCGCGCCGCCGTAGTCCCCGGGCTGGGCCGCCTTGCCCGCGCCCGCCTTGGCGCCGGCGGCCGCGGGGGCCTTGAGCTTGCCGCATTTCTTGCTGGAGCCCTTGGAGGTCTTGGCGCCGCCCGCGCCGCCGCCCGCGCCCCCGCCGCCGCCGCCAGCCGCGCTCTTCTCCGGGCTCTGGCTGGCGCTGGGTTTGGCCGAGGGGTCCATTTTGGGCTTTTTCCGGGGCCGGTACTTGTAGTCGGGGTAGTCGGCCATGTGCTTAAGCCGCAGCCGCTCCGCCTCCCGGATGAACGGGATCTTCTCGCTGTCCTTCAGCATTTTCCACCGCTTGCCCAGCCTCTTGGAGATCTCGGCGTTGTGCATGTCCGGGGACTGCTCCATGATCTTCCTGCGCTCGATCTTGGACCACACCATGAATGCGTTCATCGGCCGCTTGATGTGGCCCGACGCCGTCTTGCACCAGTCTGGGTCGCTCTCGTCCAGGGCCACCGGGCTGCAAGCCATGAATTCGCCCTCCTCCGTGTCCAGCGCCTCCCGGGGCAGGTTGCTCTCCGCTTCCAAGCTCTCCGCCTGCTGCACCATGATCCGCTGCGGGGCTGGGCGCTCCAACCCGGGCCGCTTGGTCTCTTGCGGAGATCCCCCTCCCCCTCCCACCCCTCCACCTTCCTGGGCAAGTTGCAAAGTCCTCGGCACCCGGCGTCTGCAGCTCCCCCCCTCCCCCCCGCCCCCCCTTCCAGGCTGCACACAGCGGCTGCAGGGGCTTCGGCGGCGGAGGCCGCCGGCGCGCTGGGAGCTGCGGGTTGCAACAGGAGAGGCGGCGGCGGTCCAGGCAGCCCCGGACCCCTCTCTCCGGCTCGTGGCTCCCACCGCAAGCGCCGGACCCACAGCGCTCCCAGCCGCGCGCGCTCCTTCTGCAAAAAGTTGAGGGCTCTCTCTCAACTAGTTATCAGGGTGTCATATGGGTGACATCACTCTCCCGGCCAGCCAATGGCTGGGGGCCGACTCCGCCTATCTCCCTTTATTAACACGGAGGCCCCGCCCCCTTGGCCCCGCCCTCGGGGCTGCTTTGCAAAGATGGGGGTGGCGGGGAAGAGCGGGCATGTCTAGAAATATGTTATTTTTAAAAAATCCGCGTGTGTGCACAGATGCGCCTCTCCCCGGGATGCTTGGGAGCTGCGCACGGCGCCGCGGTGGGCGGGCGACCCCGGGGCGAGCGGGCTAGTCCGGGCGCCGCCGCCAGCCAGGGACCAGGTCCCGCGAGAGGCCCAGCACCCCTTTGTGCCCCGTCCCCCGGAGGCCCGACGGTGTGGGCTGACCGGGCACGCTCAGCCCCCATGCGCTCACTCGGGCGCGCACAAAGCCGGGGACTGCCGGCACAGTCCAGCTCCGGGTCTGTGGCGCCGGGCGCGCCCGGGGGTGGACGCAGCTGTCCCCCGGCGCGCCCCCAGGGGGGCTCCGCTGCTGGCGAGCGCCTCGCCCCGGCCCGCCCGGGAGGCCCGCGAGGCCGCTGGCCGACGGAAGGTGGCGCTTCGACACAACAACCTTCTCCGGGCACGTGGGCTCGGCTCTCCTTTTCCCTTTCTCCCTTTTTTCTAAGGCAAAGAAATCAATTTAAAGCCCGAGAGGCTGCACGACCCCTCCCCCGTTTGCATTTTTCGGTTTTGTTCTTTTTTCTCCGTCTGTTTTTCCTCCTCGGCCGCGTCTGGAGACGTCGCCGTGCGGGTTTGGCTGCGCCGCGCCCCCGCGCGCCCCGCCCCGGCGCGGGCGGGAGTAACGGTCTGCGGGGCTTGGCCTGCGCCGGGCCCTCGCGTTCAATCTGGCCACTCCCGAGGCCGGTTCTTCAGCGGGTCCTGGGACCAGCCGCCCCGCACCCCCACCCCTTCCCCGGCCTCGCCAGTGAGGGGCCGGGCTCCCCTCTCCCGTCCCTCCTCTCAGCCCCTCCCCCGCTTCCTTCTCCTTCCCAGTCCTCCTCTTCCTCTTTGTCCCTGCCCCCTTCCCCGGGCGCCAGCGCCCTCCCCAGCAGCCTCGACCTGAAGTCTCGCAGTTGCGAGCTAGCAAGCCTCCCCGGCCACTCGCTGTTGCAGCCAGACACCATAAACCAAAGAAAATAAGGTGCATTGGAGTTTCGAGTCAAAATACTTCCCGTGTCTGCGGAGACGCGGCTGTGGGGCGGCGGCGGGCAGGCGGGGTGACGGGGAGCAGCCGCAGACCCCGTCTATCTGGCCGTGCCACTTGGAAACCCGCTCCTCTTTGTGTGTCTTATTTAGTCCCGGCTCCCCATCTATGGATAGTCTGGGAGCAATGACAAGGAAAGCGCCTTTTTCTATGTGTCGTCTGTCATCGTCCTAGCCGTGCCCACACCCTCCAGCGCCGGGGGCCTGGCAACTTTGAGTAGTCCCAAAGCCCCCGCCTGGAGTCGCCCGCCCGAGAAGTCAGCTTCCTAGGACTAGCCAAAATGTTCTAACCTCGCTTCCTTTCGGGCGACCTCCCTGCCACATAATACTACTTTCCTTAAGAATTGGACCTTTTCTGAGCACTTTAATAGCATAAATGGTACCGTGTTTTCACAGATCAAGATTTGAAAAAAAACACATCACCGCCATTTCCATCCCCCACCGCCCCATGCGTCCTAAAGAAAAACACTGCATCAAATCCTTGTAATATTCAGACCAACTTAAATCTTGATGATGCCGACAACTTATTATTTTTAGGGCCATCAAAACCAAAAGAATTTAGGTCATTCCTACTGGGTGACTTGGAGTGAGGAGATGTGTAAACCCCAAGGCAGTGTGTGAAAATTCATCTTCACTCCTGCAGGGCCAGCACCCTGTCTTGTTTTGCTGTTACCTCACATGTTTCCCAGCACGACGGCAGGGTGGGGTGGAGCAGACGGTGAACCTACACCCTGTCCTCCCAACTCAGGACAGAAAAACACTCTAGGTAGAAGGGTCAAAATATCTGCATTATTTGCATGCAAAGCATGAGGGCACCTACCATTTTAGACTCTGAAAGAAAATGCATTTGAAATTCTTCAGCAAATTCCGTGTTTATTTGCTGCCTTTACACTACAGCAACATCCATGCTTTAGCTTTAAAATGAGAGTGATCTGAGTACAGGAGGGCTGAAAATAATGGATTGTTTTTTTTTTTTGCTGGTAGTGCTGTGATCTTCTTAGATGAAATATAAGTCTACTCTTTCAAATAAGAAACATAATTTCTGTTCAAAGAAAGATGGGTCATTTGTTGGAGAAGATAAAACTCCACCAGGGAAGGTTACATAGCTTGAGAGGACGGGGCTAAGAATGCCAAGTGGAATGGTTTAATGAGCCTTTGAATAAACACCTTGCAAAGACTGGTGGCTCTAAAGTAGATGTGCAGACATGCACCACAGCAGATCGGGGTCCCTCCCCCAAATACAGGCAAGGTGAGACAATTTCCACAAAGATTCACCAGATTGCTATTTTCTAACATCCCACCCCACATACACAATGTTACTGGATTTAGTGAGGACTTGGAGTGAGGAAAGAAAAAAAATATTAAATAACTATCCTGTCTACTTCTTACCTTTCAGCTCCCCAAGAAACATATTTTTGAATAAATATAACTTTAAAAGAAAGGAAGCACGTTTGAGACCTTGCATGCTTCTTACAGGAACAATAGTTACTCCTGAAAAACAGATGTTTGCAATGCCAGAAGTTACCACCTGTTCCAAGGAATTTTAGCCTACCAAACAGAAAGTGTGGCCTTTCTTTAATAATGTATCTCTTGAAAGTATAATTTAGTGAAATGGAAGTGTATCTGCTATTTTTAAACCACTGAATGTATATCACGGATAGACTCGTCTGCCATCTTTTGTAGAGATGATATTCACTTCATTTTTGTGTGTTTATCTATGTACTTATTTATAAGCAAAATATACAGTTTTCCTATTAATGCTAAACATTGTTGGATACTTCATTAATGTTCAGTCTTAAGAGTCACGTTTGATTAGAGCCATGAATGACTATATTTTTATGGTTATTGTTATCACTTTACAGTTGCATCTTCACACAAAAAAATTTCTCTTAAAAAAGGACTATTACATAAGGAGGTAATATTCTACGAAATCTTTCAAAATTATAACACAATTAGAATAAATACAAAATGTTCCTTTTTTCTCTGAAGAAGCATTTTTTAAAACAAATAATATGCTAAAAATATCACTGGGTAAATATTTGACTCATCTGATGGAACACCATTTTTAGAAGCATTCCAACTATGTATATTTCCGCATCTCTGAAAGGAAGCCATGCCATAAGGCTCTTGCCTTTTTTCTCCCTTTACGTTTTCTCCGGAAATGAATGCGCTCCTCATTGCTCAGCTCTGTCCTGTGTCTCCTCTTCACACCTAAACCTTAGGTGTGGATCTTAGGTGTGGACGTTGCTTCTTAAATGTCCCTCAGACATGGTAATGAGTATAAAGTGAACTCACACCACACACGCACACGCGCACACACACACACACACACACACACACGCATGCACACGCACACGCATGCACACGCACACACAGGCTGCTGCTCTTCATGTATTCCCTAACCTGGTGAATCGTACAACAAGGCACATGTGCTGATGTTTACCAGAGTGTGACCTGGAAAAGCCCGAGCAGTAGGGCAGTACGGCATAGGCCAAGGGCTTTGAAACTTAACTTTGACCGTGACCTATTTTATAAAGCACATTTTTACATCATGACACAGTACACGTGCTATATATGCATAAAGTAGAAATCAAAGTTTAACAAATCAATGTCTCTCTGTAGTTCATGCTATTTTCCATTCTATCCCATTCCACTCCTTTAAATGTTAGTTCAGACCCACTGAATTGCACTATTAACAAGGCACCTTTGAAGTTCAAAATACACTGGTGTAGGTGTTGAGAGCTAAGACTATGAAGTGTAGCCTTGGATTGAAAATCTGGCTTCTGATGTCTTTTTTTCCTTTTTTTTTTTTTTTTTGGTGGATCTCATGTAGCCCTTTTGCTTAACAATGACCAGAGAACTTCACAAACCCGATGAATGCCTCTGAAATGATTCTTGTCTTTTTTATTATTCATATGAGCTATATAGTCTTTTAAACCATAGATTATTTTTCCAAGCAGTTTTAGGTTCATGGCAAAATCAAATGGTAAGTACAGAGCACTCCCGTAGACTCCCTGTTCCGACACACACCCAGCCCCCTTCATTAGAAGTATTCCCCACCACACGGGTGCATTTGTTACAATCGGCAAAGCAGCAGCAACACTTCGTAATCACCCATGTCCATGGACATGAACCCTACAGGTAGGGTTCACTCTTGGTGGTGTGCACTCTCTGGCTTTAGACAAATATAGAATGATAAGCACCCACCATTATAGTGTCCTACACATGAGTTTCACTGCCCTGGAATTCCTCTGTGCTCTGCCCGCTCATCCTCCCTGGGCTCCCAGCTCCCAGCCCCGGGCAACACCTGATCCCATCGCTGTCTGCACAACCTTTCCTTTTCCAGAATGTCAAATACTGGGCACCATACTGTATATAGCCTTTTCAGATTGGCTCCTTTCACTCAGTAATATCCATTCAAATTTCCTCCGTGTCTTTTCATAGCTCGATAGCTCATCTGTCTTTAGCACTGAATCATATTTGGTTGTGTGGATGTACCACAGTTTATCCATTCGCCTACTGAAGGACATCTTGGTTGCTCCCAGTTTGGCAATTATGAGCAAAGCTGCTATATGCATCCTTGTGCAGGATTTTGTGTGGATTTAAGTGTTCAACTCGCTTGGGTAAATATCAAAGAATGAGATTGCTATATCAGTGGTGCTTGTTTAGTTGTGTAAAAAACTTGCAAACTGTCTTCCAAAGTAGTCGTACCATTTTGCATCCTTAGCAGTAATGAATGAGAGTTCCTGCTGCCCCACATCCTTGCCAGCCTTTGGTGCTGTCAGTGTTGGATTTTAGCCATCCTATTAGATGTGTAGTGGTATCTCATTGTTATGTTAATTTACATGTCCCTAATGACATGTTATGTGGAACATCTTTTCAAATGCTTACTTGCAATCTGTATATCTTCCTTGATGATATGTCTTTTCATATCTTTGGTTCATTTATTAATTAGGTTGTGTGCTTACTGTTAAGTTTTAAGAGTTCTTTGTGTATTTTTTATAACACCTCTATATCAGACATGTCTTTTGCAGATATTTTCCCCCCGTCTGTGGCTTCTCATTCTCTCGATAGTATCTTTTAAGCAAGTTATTTAATCCTTCCTGTACCTCAGTTTTATAATCTATAAAGTAGGATAATAGTACTACCTCTTAGAATTGTTTTAATGATTAAATACATATCAAGTGCTTAGAACAGTGCTGTACATTAGATGCTCGTGAATGTTATTATTATTTTATATTTTTTTCTCCAGTGCCTAAAACAGTTCCTGGGGCATAGTTGTTGCAGAAATGTCTACTGCGTGAAAGAATTTTCATATTTGCTCACACACGTCAGTAAGCTCCGTCAATTCTCCCACCTAAATCACTCCTGAGTCTCCTTCCTCCTGCCCGTTCTCACCATCAGTGTGTAAGTTTAGGCTCCCTCAATATTCCATGCACTTTTTAGTAACAGACACCAAACTGGTCTCCCTGTCCCCACACTGCAACCAGGCTGTTCACCCCAACGTGCACTTTGGGCCTTGGGGACTTACCAATTCCACCTGCAGGAAGCCCCTCACCCTTAGGACAAAATCCATTCTTTTTGCAACTTGAGCCGGGCATGGTTTTTTCTTTCTGCTTCTCTAGTTTCATCTCTTTCACAATTAAAAAAAAAAATCACAGGAGCAGCAGGGCAGTGCAGCAGAGAACAGGGGTTTCCAAACTCATTTTGACCATGACTTGATGTATGAAATGCATGTTTACGTCTGGACCCAGCACACACATGCTCACACACACTCACACGAATGATATGCACACATAAAATTGAAGTTAAAACAAGAGGGATGGTTTGTGACTTCAGATCAAACTGTTTCACATGTTCACACTGTTCCTATTAACCAGGCATTTGCTAGAATTTGACATCTTTTGCTGTTTAAACAGAACTTATTTTCATTAAAAATAAATTTATTCAAACTTTTTGTTGTTGTTGTTAAGACGAACCTGCTCTGGAAAAGGTGTTGAACTGGATAACTCAGGCATTTTTTTTTTCTTATAATAGAAGTTGAATAAGTGTTACCCAAAAACATGTATTTTTCACATTGATTCAGCTGCAGTTTTACGCAATGCAAACTGCTCTTTCAGTTGCTCTATTCCTCCCAAGGCCCAATATATTGCTCCAGGAAAGGCAGGGTGGGGCTTACGGGTGGGGGTGGGGAGATGGCTCTGCACATTGTGCTGATTCTCTACTGTCTGAACCCAAGAGAGTGGTTGAGCTCGTCACAGAAGCCAGTGCGCGCTTCCTGGATCTGTGGTCCACAAGGAAAGGTGGTATAGGCGGAAAGTCTGCACTTCCCAGGAGTGAGGAGGGCTGTTCTCCTGGAGATGTTGCTCCCTTTATATCAGCGTCTTTGTCTTAGACACCCGAGAAGATGCACACACTTTTGCGTGTGTGATTGTGAGTGTGGTATGCCTATTTATGGGACTGTCATAGAAAGATGGACAGCACGATTCTAAAATTCACCAAATCTGATCTCCTCCAGCGTGGCTACTATCCTCGTGTGAGAAAACACCCATGTCGATAACTATGAATGTGTCATTCTTTTTGATGACAATGACCAAGAGGGGAGAAGGAATACTGGTAGCTCTTGAGCACCTGGGTGTGCTGCAGATTTCTGGGTTTGGTTCGTACCACTGCAGGAGGAGGGTGGCTGTGGACAGGGCTCCCCGGGAAGGTGGAATTCTTGGTTTTGTCGCACGCGGGGTCTCCCTCCAGCCCCTCTTAGGGGGATGAGGCAACGCCCTAGCAATGACTCTTCCTGACAAAGCGGATGGGCTGTGCCCAGGCTGCCTTACCCCACACCCACGATCCCTGTCATCCACTAAATTTTTTCTTAATTGACTGGAACTCTGGTGTCCACTGTTTTTCTTTACTTGTTTCTTTTTTTCTGGCCCTTGCAGCGGCCATAGCTCTTTCTCCCCTGTCTGTCTCTCATCATCCAAAATATCTAAGATTTCTTTTTTTTGCCATGAAACTTTTATATTGTTCATATTATTTGTGTTATCCCAATGGCATAGGCAGAGCTGTGTGAAGCATAAGTAATTATTAAATTCTAAGTAATCATACTGTGGACAGAAATAGAGTGACTTTCCTTGGAGAGAGCCATTCACTGAGAATTCTGCCTATCTGTGGGCATGGTACAAGTGGGTATTAGTTGCTGTGCAAAAGTATAATAAAGGCCATGTCCTGGGGTGGGGGGTGGAGGGGGAGAATGGAAAGCAAGGAGACCCATGTCTCTACTGCCCCAAGAGACATCTATACAGGCGGCAGAGAGAGGAGCGGGGTCTGAACCTGGGAGACCTGACTCCTGCCCCGAACCTAACATAAGTCAGGCTCAGCAATGCGATCACAGGACCAGTGGTCAAGCACCCCGGGCCTTGGTTTCCTCATTTGTGACATGAACATTTTGGACTAGATGGTTTCCAAGGTCACCTCTGCCCTCTTAACACTTTGTGGTTTGTCCACTACTAAAAATGTCATTCTTACGGAATCATAAACTAGGGAAGATTATTTCAGTTTCATCCTCTTAGGTCTATGGATTCATTATGTTATTTTGGATTCATTATATTTTAGAATATGGTCATTTAATTGTGACTTTGGTACTTTATGGTGTTTATCGTGTTTGTTTTTTCCCTCCATTGAAAGGCAGCACATGCTCCTTGTAGAAATGTGGCAAGTTGGCAAAGCACTGAGAGCAACCAAGTCGCCTACGTATAGTATATCCTCCTT